AAAAAAGTCTCAGAGACTAGGACAATGGTTAATAGTCATGTGCACTGACTGCTCTTACAGAAAACCTAGATTCCATTCTTAGTACCCACATGACAGCTTACAACTGTCTGTAACTCTACTTCCAAGGCAACCAACATCTTCTTCTGGGCTTCTCAGGCACCAGGCACACACGTAGCATACAGACATACATGCTGGCAAAACACCCATGTACATGAAATAAAACAATAAAAGTATCCTTTAATTACAAAGCAGAGTAAAAATTCTCAAGCTTATAATGTTTGCATGGAAACTGAATCTTGCAGCCCACAGCCCAGATGGGGCTTTTTGGTATTTTGATAATGTGTTTTGTAAAACCAATTTAATTGTAAGGCATATATACAAATGAATCATTCTAAAAAGCCACACACTCATAGGAGCGACATGTGACATCTAATAAAGGGAGACAGACAACTTATCATCAACAAAAACTTGTTTGTAAATATCATTAGCCTGGACCTGGACCCTCTTGATAATGTTTGCCTTTTCTTTTAACGGAATGGAGTCTGGGATTCCCATGGCTCGTTCACCAATATGAAGCATTCTGAGGAAAGGTAAAACCTGGGTTTAAGCCCAAGAATGCCCATTACTGAGCATCTCTGCCTATGATTCCCTTTGCCTAAGAACATATTGAGACAGGTTACTGCATTTTTTCTTTCTCATGATAGAGATGTTCTACTTTGTTTATTGTGGAGAAATCTAGTTACAAGACAGCCTTCACTAGTAATCTAATAAACATATTAATAACCATGTAATCATTCAATGCTAACCACTCCGCTGAATCAATGGTTTTACAATAACAGCAATGGCACCAATAAGCAAGTTTTGTACACATATCAACCATAGGATCAGAATCCCTGAAACATCTGGATTATGAAATACAGATGTTCACCCTAATAACACCATGCTGTGACATACTTTTCCTGAGGAGAAACACACACACAATCTACTCACCTGGAGATGGGGACTCCACAACCACCAAAGTCTGACTTAGTGAACCAGTAAGTTTATCGGGGTTACTTACAGAAGCAGAAATGACTCAAAGATAGCTGTATCATGAAAGCCCACCCCAGCATGGACAACAGCTCATAAGAACATTGGAAACCTGAAGCACACTACACAACCTGAAGTTACCTAAAGGATTGAAAACGTCCTTTCGAGATAGCTCAGTTGGTCTGCATTCCTTCCAGGTATCCAGTCTAATTGGTCTCTACTTCCAGGCAGCTGGGCTGGTCTTTGCGGCTTGACTTCTCTGAGAGTGACGGCAGCATTGTCTATAAAGGCTAGTGAATCTTCTCAGTTTCAGAGACTTCCTGAAACTCTTTTTAGCTGTTTACTTTCTGTTTTAAGGAGCTTCCCTGGGAGATGGAATGTTTCAGTTTCAGAAGAAACTTCCACACAACATTCCAGGATCCCAATTAGGCCTGAAATGTTTCAGAATCATTTTTGAAATAGTGTTTTCTGTTTGTTTTCTCTCTTAACCTAGCAGGAGATGAGTAAAACTCAAGGAGTCACTCTTTGCCAGTGCAAAACAAGGAGCTCACCTCAAAGGCAACAGATAGCTTACTTTTAAAATGCTTTACATTTTATTTAGCTGTGTGTGTGTGTGTAAGTTGGCCATCTCTTTCTACCATGTGAGTTCCAGAGATCAAATCCAGGTCATCAGTCTATTAGACAAGAACAATTATCCACTGAGCCATCTTGAGAATCCCAAAATAGCTTATTCTATGAGTTGTGATGGCTAATCTTGTCATCTTGACTGCATCTAGAATGAACTACAATCCGGAAATGGAGGGCACCTGTGAGAGATCTTTTGCTTGGTTTGAGGAAGGTGAATCCATTTCTAGTTCAGACCTTTGAGGTGGGAAGACACACACCTTTAATCTGGATCTTGAGGCAGGAAGATATATGCATTTAATGTGGGCCATATCTTCAACTGAAAGTGTTGTAGGAGACCTGCTTGTTTATTTCCTGGCTGCCCAGACTCCTGAAATAATCCCACAGAAACCATATTATTTGCAATACTGTTTGGCCAAGAGCTTAAGCATATTTCTGGCTAACTCTTACGTCTTAAAAATTAGCCCATCTCCATTAATCTGTGTATTGCCACGTGGCTGTGGCTTACCAGGTAAAGTTCCAGTGTCTGTCTCTGGCAGGCTTCTTTCTCACTCCGCATTTTTTCCCAGCATTCAGTTTAGTTTTCCCCCGCCTAGCTCTACTCTTTTGCCCTATTACAGGCCAAGACAGTTTCTTTATTAACCAATGGTATTCACAGCATACAGAGGGGAATCCTATAACATGGAAGTCTATACAAGGACATAGAAGGAAGCTTTTGCATTTTGCCTGTTTGCCTCCTCTATCTATCTACCATCTATCTATCCATCTATCTATCTATCAATCATCTGTCATCTATCTACCTATCTATCTATCTTCTATCTAATCTGAGTGCTCTACCTGCATGTGCGCCTTCATACCAGAAGAGGGCAACAGATTCCATCCATCCATCCATCCATCCATCCATCCATCTTCTATCTAATCTGAGTGCTCTACCTGCATGTGCGCCTTCATACCAGAAGAGGGCAACAGATTCCAGGGCACTGCACTCGGGACCTCTGAAGAGCAGCCAGTGCTCTTAACCGCTGGGCCATTCCTCCAGGCTCTGTTATACTAAACAAGGCACTCTTAGCACTTCACGAAGAATTTTAGAAAACCCACGTGCTTATTTTTATTTAAGTTATTATGAAATTGGTGGCTCCGTAAGTATCAAAAACCTTTCACAGCCTGACAGATTTCTACGTTCCTTTCAGGAGACACAGATCTTTTTCGTTTGATTTTGTGTATATATTTGATACTAGCTACTTAACTCAGCCAGACCTAGGCTCACTGAACTCCGACCAAAGCTGTGCTTCCGGTCCCAGAGATTTCCACCCCGACGATGGCTTCCCGGTGTCCAGCCCCAGCCGGAGACTGAGGGGAAGAAACCCACGCTAGAGAGACCTGAGCGCTCAGGACGCTTTGTAGCCTGGACACAGCTCAAAGGAACCTAGCCCGGCAAAAACAAACCAAAACCAAAAACGAGCGGCAAGAGAAACCGGCGCCCTGCAGGGACGAGACCGCGCCTGCGCGCTAGGTCCCGCTCTATGCGCAGAGTACGAGACTGCGCCTGCGCGCTGGGCCCCACTCTAGGAGCTCAGAGGATGAGGCCGCGCCTGCGCGCTGCGCCCCCACTCTGTGAGACCGCGCCTGAGCGCTGGGCCCCGCTCGGGGCGGGGCAGCCTGAGGGAAGCCCGTGACTGACAGGCAGAGCCCCGCCCCCCCGTTCCCGCCCTCGGCCGGCCGCGCCAATTCCTGTCAGTCAGCCTCGAGTCCCGCGGAGGGCGGACGTCGGCTGGGGCGCGGGTGACGGAGTCCGGGACCGCAGCACAGGGACGGCGACTTCTGGGTTCAGCGTGAGACCCCGCGTCCTCGGCGCCCCCAAGTCAGAGTCCCCTCGGCGTGACGCGCGCGGACACCTCAGCTCCTCACACACACGCGCGCGGACACCTCAGCTCCACACACACGCGCGCGGACACCTCAGCTCCTCACACACACGCGCGCGGACACCTCAGCTCACACACACGCGCGCGGACACCTCAGCTTCTTACACACACGCGCGGACACCTCAGCTTCACACACACACGCGCGGACACCTCAGCTCACACACACACGCGCGCGGACACCTCAGCTCCTTACACACACTCGCGCGGACACCTCAGCTCCACACACACACGCGCGGACACCTCAGCTTCTCACACACATGCGCGGACACCTCAGCTTCTCATACACACACACGCACGCGGACACCTTAGCTTCATGCACTCACACACGTACACCTCAGCTTCACATACGCATTCACGTACACACATACTCCACACGCACGCACACTCACACACACTCTTCAGCGTTACACATACAAGCACGCGCACACACACCTTAGCTTCACACACACTCATGCACACACGTTCAGACACCTCAGCTTTACTCACGCACACAGGCACAGTGCCCTTTGATTTAGTCCCAAATGCACCTGCGCGGAACCAACCCACCCTCGGCCTGAGGAACCTGGGTTGCTCTCCACAGAGAGACCAAGTTTCCAGACAGGAACCCTCGACTCTCCCGAGCCCCAACACCCTCAGTACTGATGACCTGTCTCTCCTTAAGATCCGTTTCCATTTCTCTGTGAGTTCGAGGCCAGCCTGGTCTACAAGAGCTAGTTCCAGGATAGGCGCCAAAGCCACAGAGAAATCCAGTCTCGAAAAAAAAAAAAAAAAAAATTTCCAAGATCCTAAATGCTCTCACCCAGCAAGACCCCAAATACCTTCGACATGACAAACCCCAAATCTTCTTGATACAAGCCTGTCGAATCTCCTCAGTCTGAAAGTCCCCACACCTTGTCTCTCACAGCCCAAGAGAGTCCTCCCGCCTACAGATCCCAATTCCCTCAACCTGAGGTACTCTAAACTAAAAATTTCAGCCAGAGGGTCCTCAGATCTCAGAGGGACTCCAACCCCGTGTCACCAGGATTCCGAGTCCACTGACATGAAAACAGGTCTTCCAGACCCAGCACGTCAGTCAGAGAGAGGCGCAAGTGCTCTGCCCTGATGGCAGGGGCGGGACTGGAACCCCATTCCGCAGATGCGGAGGGGAGTCCTCCACTTGCTAACACAGGCCCTAACCCGGAAGTGGGATCGGCTCCTGGGTTTAAGGCTCAGTCCAGATCCACTGTACCTTCCTAGACCACAGAGGCTCAGACAAACAAAAACCAGCTGTGTTGGCTTGCAGGGATTCCCGCCTCCAGACACTTAGGTTGTGCTGCTGGGACTCCCTACTCGCCTATGAGCCTTGGTTACTTCTCCATTCGTAGGATCACAGGAGCCTGGACCTCCACAGGGAAATGTCCTGAACCATGAGCACCCACAAACTGGAAGAGAATAGTCAGGAGGGAGATGCAGCGAGACTCAAGTGGAAGCCCAAGGTACAAGGTTGTCCTAGAGCCGGAAGTATCATGCGGTGTGTGTGTGCAGAGGGACCACAGACTCCTGGCCTGCACCACCGCCCTGGTTTTCCTGTGACAGGATGGTGTCCTGATATGTGAGAGGCTAAAAGGCTCGTCAGCAACTGCTTTATCAGCAGTAACATCCAGCGTTTGCTTAACCGAGCTTCTGGGAATGGCAAGGAAATTTGATCGCTGAGACCACCCCAGGGCCCCATGCTCTGCCCTGCACGTTCTGGTTTTTGTTCTTATTTTGTCTTCCAGGTCAAAGATGAGTTCAAAGATATTTCCATATACTTCTCCAAAAAAGAATGGGCAGAGATGGGAGAGTGGGAGAAAATTCGCTATAGGAACGTGAAAAAGAACTATAAGATGCTGGTTTCTATAGGTAATGAGAAGTCTTGGGTCAAATCAGCCTAGGTAAAAATCAAGTCTCCAATTCCCATGGAGACAAGCTTAGAGGACACTTTGGGTGTGTCTGTGAATCCAGAGCCCACCGGGCCTTGTGATGTTTCTTTTGTTCCTTCCTCTAGGGCCTGCTTCCTTTTTAAGAGGAACGTTTTGCTTCTTTTCAGGTCTCAAAGCCCCTAGACCAGCTTTCATGTGTTACCAAAGGCAAGCGATCAGGCCCCAGATAGAAGACAGTGAGGATTCTGATGAAGAATGGACACCCAAGCAGCAAGGTGAGGGGTCAGGAGGATAGAGGTACACGTGTGAAACCAGGCCAGATTTAGGTTTCAGAATTAGCTTCTGAAAACTGGGTCCCCCCCCACCCCCCCACCCCACCCCCGCCAAGACCCAAAGGTCAGCAAACAAACAAGATACAAGGCAAAATATAGTAAGAAGCTATCCCTATACATTTTAAAATAACTGAAAATTGTGTATATTTATATATACAATAAGCATGAAATATATACAAATCTGGGCGTCAACAAGAAATGTCAAACCCAGAAAGTTAGCACAAGCTCCTGACCTAGTGTCTAGTCTATTTCTTGCTCATTATGAATAATGCTAATATGACCATGGATGTGAAAATGTTCAAGATCTTTTCACTTTTTATATGTACATAAAGAAATCAGATTGAATCATAAAGTAATTCTACTTTAATTTTGGAGGGACTTACGATTTATGAGAGCTGCACCATTTTATGTTTGCCCTCATCCTTGCCATTACTTCTTGTGAGTTTTTTTTAAATAAGTAAGCATCCTGAAGAGTAAAGATATGTCACTGAGATTTTAATTTTCCTTTCCCCAATGATCAGTTGTGTTGATCACCTTTCTCTATGCTTGTTGACCTCTTAGGTATCTGTAGAAGTGTGTGTTCAAATCCTTTTGTCATTGTATTAATTAGTCAGCTGATGCTGCATGACAAACCATCAGGCACTAACTAAGTTTTTAAGCAGAAATATATTTCTTGCTGTTCTGGAGGCCAGAAACCCAACATGAGGGGGCCACCCTGGTCAGGTTTCAACAAGGACTTCCTTCTGTGAGTGTAGGGGATCTTCATTGTATGTGCACATGAACTCTGTATGTTCATGGCTGGTAGAAGTGGGAAGCATCTCTTCCTACCTAGGAAAGAACTAATGTCATCATGGGACCACTCCCAGGGTCACCTTATTGTAATTAACTTCCAAATATAATATTAGGAACTAGAACTTAAATATAAAAATAGTTGATTTGGGAAAAACAAATGAATCTAATCATCTATTTTTAGGTTATTTTGTGTTGATTCTGTGGTTATTGAGTTGTAGGAGTCCTTTATGTAGTCTAGAAATTAACCCCTTATTATATATAGTCTTTGCAAATACTTTCTTCAAGTCATTAGGTTTTCATTCAGTTGTTTCGTTTGATGTTAAGATTAATGTAATCTTTATTTCTGTTTATGTTTTTGGTATTATATCCAGGAAATCAGTTACGTTTCCAATGTTATGAAGATTTTTGTCTAGTTTTCTTCTAATGATTTTATAGAGAGTATCATGCCTTAAGTGTGGTTCTTAAACCCGCGTTGAATTATCTTAAGCTTTGTTCTTTTTCATGATACCCTGAGTTGTTCTGATTCCCTTAAGATCCTATATTAACTTTGATATTTTCTTTTTTTTAAAAAAAGATTTTATTAAGTATAGTGTTCTGCCTGCATGTATGCTTGCATGCCAGAGCAGGGCACCAGATCTCATTACAGATGGTTGTGAGCCACCATGTGGTTGCTGGGAATTGAACTCAGGACCTCTGGAAGAGCAATCAGTGCTCTTAACCTCTGAGCCATCCCTCCAGCCCCCAATTTTGATATTTTCTTAATTCAGCAAAATATGACATTGGCATTTTGGTAGTGAATACATTTAATCTATAGGTCATTTAAGGTAATAGAAACTTTTGTAATATTGTTTTATAAGCCATGAACAGAGGCTATTTTTCTGTTTATTTGAGTCTTTAATTTCTTTTAGTAATGTTTTAGTATTTTTGGTGTCCAAATCTTTTAAATCCTTGGCTAAATTTAAGAGTAAATATTTTATTCTTTTAACCTTTTAGATGTGCTTTAAAAATTTTTTTCCTCCCTGGATTGTTTATTGTTATTGTGCATGTATAAAAACACAACTGATTTTTAAGTGTTTATTTTATATTCTTCAATTCTTAGTGGAACCTTAAGGGATGTCTGTATAAAAGACAATGTAATTTATAAAATTACTTCTTTCTTTTCAAGTTAAGATGACTTGTATTTCTTTTTTTTTTATTTCTTTCTCTCTTTTTTTTTTTTTTTTTTTTTTTTTGGTTTTGGTTTTGGTATTTCAAGACAGGGTTTCTCTGTGTAGCTTTGGAGTCTGTCCTGGAACTTACTTTGTAGATCAGACTGGTCTTGAAACCACAGAGATCTGCCTGCGTCTGCCTCCCAACTGCTGAGATTAAAGGTGTGCACCACCACCACCTGACAACTTTTTTTTTTTTCCCCGAGGCAGGGTTTCTCTGTGTAACAGCCCTGACTCTCCTGGAACTTTGTAGATCAGGCTGGCCTTGAATTTGTAGAGATTAGCTTGCCTCTGCCTCTGAGTAGGATTAAAGACACCTGGCCTTGACTTGTATTTCTCTCTTTTTTTCTTTCTTTTTTTAGCCTACTTATTCTAACCAGGACTGTTGGTATTATGTTAAGTAGAGATAGCAAGATGGGGAATCTTTGATGCCTGCTGTAACCATAGAGGAAAAATTTCCAACTTTTCACTGTTGAGGGTGATACTGAAAATGTCCTTTGACTGCATGACTTTTTTATGTGTACTTAATTTCTTCTTGTTCTTGGTTTATTCAGTTTTTTTCTTCTTCTCAGGTCGATTGCCTTATTTATGTGAACATAAATGCAATAGATATGAACACAAAGAAGAGATGAGTTTTGTCTACTTTTGAATAAGCTTAAAAGAAAATCAGCAATGCTCCCAATAGAAAATAGGGTTAATAATATTTCAAAACCAATTTCCATATCACCCATGGGTCTTCCTTGAAGTCTTCATTCAATTATTCAGAATTCTCTGTTCTTGCTGAGTATCCCACGTGTAAAAATAAGCATCAAAACCAAAACAGTGATTTCTCATCACTTTTCAGTTAGTCCTCCTTGGGTGCCTTTCCGAGTGAAGCACACCAAACAGCAGAAGGTAAGTCCTCTCCAAATCCTACACACAAGAAAGCACAGATAAAAGAAGAGGCTTAGAGCACCCTGGGAACTGCTGCTTCCTAGTCTCCTCTGCATCTGCTCTCATCATCATTTAAATCAATAAGAACGTCAACAATAGCAATTGGACTTGTTTTATTTTCACAATATTTCAGATTGTAAACATTTTAAATTAGCAAACCCTTTGAGACAGGGAGTAAGTTATAACTACTGTATAGATAAGGAATTGAAATGTTCAGTAATAATGCCGAAGATCATAGCAAGTAGGGGTGCAGTCAATTTCAGAATTCTTTCTCTAAAGCATGCACAAGCTCTTTACAACTTAGTAAAGTCATAGCGTTAGCCATTTCACGGCATGCACCTGAGTGCTTCTACCTTGGTGTCTTAGTGCTATGTCAAAGTGGGAAATACATGAATAATACTCTAAGGGTAGTTTACAGATATGAAGAAGATTTTACTTTGGATGCCACAGATAAAGGGGATGTGATCCTCTCCTCATAGAGACTTACTCTGATAAGAAAGAGCAGCTCTCAGCCCTAAGAATATTGAAGTTTGGCAGCAAGAGGTACACAAATTTAAAAAAATGATGTAAGGGGCTGGAAAGATGGTTCAGTGGTTAAAAGCATCGCCTGCTCTTCCAGAGGTCCCAGGTTCAATTCCCAGCATCCTCATGGCAGTTCAAAGCCATCTGTAACCCCAGTTCCAGGGGATCCAACACCCTCACATAGACATAACAAGAATCCGCAGACAATAAAAACAAGTAAATTAAAAAAAAAAAAAGAAAATGACTTAATCAGGTATGGTGGTGCATGCCCATAATTATGTGGGAAAAGGTGTCAGAAGGACTTCTGTGAGTTTGATGCCAGCTTAGTCTACATAAGGAGTCCCAGGTCTGCCATGGGTACACAGTGATATAGTGAGTCCTGAAAGAGAAAATTATGTAAGATTTCCATATAAGACGTACATTATTCCATTGAAATGTCATATGTGGGAGAAATTATCAGAAAAGCCATTAATCTCACATTAATATTGTATTCAATTGCACGTGTTCTATTCAGTATCACAAAAAGAATTAGCATTATGGAGGCTGGAGAGAAGGCTCAATGTTAATAGCACTTCTTGTTCTTCTTGGTTTCTAGCAGGGCAGTTCAAAGCTGCAATTAGCTCCAACTCCAAGAGATTGAATGCCTTTTTCTGACCGTGACAGAACCTCACACTCCACACACACACACACACACACACACACACACACACACGGAAATAAAAATAAATCTTTAAAATGAACAATTAGTGTGTATACACATTTATGATTGAGAAAATTAGTGAATTTTCTGGAAAAATTAGTGCAAGAACTAATTAATCTAATTCTAGAGTCAACCTAAGCATGATGGCTCAGATCTGTGATTCAAGCACTTGAGTGGCTGAGGTAGGAGGAGTCCTGTGAGTTTGAGGCCAGCCTACAAAATGAGACCCTGTCTCAAACAACCTAATTCCAGAGTCAGCTACTTCCAGCACGCCGCTTTGCAATTTCAGTATCACTTAGTTGTATGAGTACATTTCTGCTGAGCCTCTCTTCACTGTTCTCAGTTACGCTTCTGCTGTCACTTCCCTTTACAGGCCTGTTTTACCTTTCCCTCGTTTTCTACATCTCACATGTCGTCAAGTATCTCCTGCTTTATGCCCTATTTCTCTCTGTAAGACTTAATCTCTTCATTCACCAACTTCGCTGGCTTTCCAGCTAGCCTTCCCAAGTATCCCTCCCTCCAGCCTGAAAGAAGCCTGAACGGAGAGAGCCTAGGATATGGCCTCTTGTCCTAGATTTGCAGCCCGTTTAGGTTCTTCTTTTTCTCTTTCTTATTCAGACAGTTCACACATGTGTCCAAGGATTTTTCACACATTAACTAAAGTAACACCTGAAAATATGTGGAAAGTCATAAAGAGCTACAGAAATGCCTGTTGTGTTTTTATATGTGCCTCTAATTAAAGGAAGCACCTGGAATGCCATTAAGTAGTGAATCTAATGTGAAGAAAGTGCCTGGAATAGAAAATTTGCTGGATACAAGTGGTTCAGAACTTGCCCAGAAACCAGTGTCCTCTTCTGGAGAAGGAAATGCCTCTGGACAGCACTCTGGACAAAAACCAAGTAAGAGTAAATAATTTGGGAACTTTAATCCCTCTAGGTTACCTAGAAAGGTTGATGAGAATGGTCTAGAACGGTCTGTGTAGGCAACTTCAGATAGTTCTGAGCTTGGTCTTGTCTAAGCTTTGGGAGTGGGAATGCTATTAAGCACTGTGTCAGGACATTGATTTTAAAGGCATACACTTGGGCTGTTATTCACAAGGAGGCACCAGGGCTTGGGCAATATGGAGATGGAAGTTTCTGTCCTGCCTGGTCCTGTAGCCATTCAGTCCCAAAGAAACACACAGATGCTTATATCAGTTATAAACTGTTAGGCCTATTAGCTCAAGCTTATTATTAACTAAGTCTTACAACTTAAATTAACCCATAATTCTTATCTATGTTTAGCACATGGCTTGGTACCATTTATCAGTAAGACATTCTCATCTTGCTTCCTCTGCATCTGGCTGGTGACTGACTCTGCCTTTCGTCTTCACAGAATTCTCCTAGCCTGGTTGCCCCACCTATACTTCCTGCCTGGCTACTGGCCAATCAGCATTTTATTAAACTAAGATGAGTGACAAATATTTATAGTGTACAAGAACATTATCCCACAGCAGTAATTTGTGACCTTCTGAGTGTTAATGTGTGGAAATAAAGCTATAGTAGCTCCTGTGATGCTTTAAAACAGCAAGTGAAGCATAAAATATCTGATCCAGGCAAAGTGTCTGTATGCAGACTTTTCTTTCCCATCAACCAGTTCCCAAATAACCAACCTGGAGACTTAATAGTAATTATAAATCCTTGGTCAATGGGGCTGGAGAGATGGCTCAGTGGTTAAGAGTATTGCCTGCTCTTCCAAAGGTCCTGAGTTCAATTCCCAGCAACCACATGGTGGCTCACAACCATCTGTAATAAGGTCTGGTGCCCTCTTCTGGCCTGCAGACATACACACAAACCGAATATTGTATACATAATAAATAAATATTTAAAAAAAAAATCCTTGGTCAAGCCGGGCGGGGGTGGCACACGCCTTTAATCCCAGCACTCGGGAGGCAGAGGCAGGCGGATCTCTGTGAGTTCGAGGCCAGCCTGGTCTACAAGAGCTAGTTCCAGGACAGAAACCAAAAGCTATGGAGAAACCCTGTCTTGAAAAAGTCTAAAAAAATCAATTAATCAATCAATCCTTGGTCAATAGCTCAGGCTTGTTACTAGTTAACTCTTGCAACTTAAACTTACCCATTTATATTAATATAATAATATACATTACATTAATTAATTTATATTCATATAATTTATATTAATTAATATAAATTAGAATTTATATTAATGACATTCTATCACATGATGTTACCTCTTTTTCCTATTTCACCTCCTGTTTCTTCTTCGTGTCTAGGTGGTGGCCCCTTTGGCTCCGCTCTTCTTCTCAGCAGCATTCTCTCTGCCCCGAACATCCTGCCTAGCTATTGATCAGCTTTTTATTAACAATGAGAGCAACACATTTTAACACTGTACAGAAGGATTATTCCACAGCAATATCCAATAAATCTTCTCTGTGGCAATAGGAACCAAATTTTCTCAAGGCTGTGTGCCCAGGCTTTGTTCAATGCCTAATCTTCAGCGTGCCCTCAATAAATATTTTCTAAATGAATCAACATGTGAATAAACTGTTTTTAGTAGAAAAATGTGGGCATATAGAAATTAAACCTGAAAACTCAGAAATTAAAATTGGATTAGTCACTGAGAGGTGGTGGCACACACCTTTAATCCCAGCACTCAGGAGGCAGAGGCAGGCAGGTCTCTGTGAGTTCAAGGCTAGCCTGGTGTACAGAGCAAGTTCCAAGACAGCCAAAGCTACACACAGAGAAACCCTGTCTTGAAACTCCCCCCACAAAAAAAAAATTAGATTAGGCATCTGTAGTCAGTTGAAGACAGAAACTTAGCTTCTTTAAACAGAAAGTTAAAGTGGAATAAGAGTATATAGAATGGTAAAAGATCATTTTATGGCAATAAATTTCACATTTTCTTTTAAATTTTTAAAATAAATTTTAGTTTTTAAAGATTTATTTTTATATGTGTATGTGTGTCATTTACATGCCTTATTCCTGCAAAGACTGGAAGAGAGTGTTTGATTACCTAGAGCTGGAGTTATAGATGGTTGTGAGCCACCACTGTGTGGGTGCTCGTAACCAAACCTGGGTTCTCTACAAGAGCAGCAAGTGCTTTAACTGCTGACCCATCTTCTCTCCAGACCCAAATTTTAGATTTTCTGAAGAAACAGGGATAAATGCTCCAGGTCGCCAAACTTTTACTCTCCTTTGTCCTCCAACCCAGAACCAAGGAGAAAGAAGGCTGAAGTGAAGATGTACAGTCTGCGAGAGAGGAAGGACCTTGCCTATGAAGAGGTCGGCGAGCCCCAGGACGATGACTACCTCTGTAAGTGTCCATCAGAACTTCTCATGTAGAAGGCTGCTATGTCCTGGTATGATTCATCTGGTCATTTGGAGCCTAGATAATATCTACTGTAGTGACCCTGGGGAGGGACAGCACCACTCCCACTGGGTCTTTAGGCTCGTGCTGAAAAAAGGAAAATGTGGTTTTGGGTTTGCGTGTGCGTCCCCTCTGTCTTCCCCCTGCCATGCTCCTGGTCAACCAGGACGTCCTTCTATTAAACACCGGCATTTAATTTGGTTAAATTAAGTGACTTAGGTTCAAACTTGAGAGGAAATGACATGGGTGCCATGGTCTTTCTGAAGACCTTTAGATCTTCATACACCTTCCCTAATCCCTGCTGTTCTTATCTTAGATTGCGAGAAGTGCCAGAATTTCTTCATCAACAGTTGTCCCAACCATGGGCTTCCTATATTTATAAAAGACAGTGAAGTGGACGGGGGGCATCCCAACCGCTCAGTCCTCAGTCTGCCCCCTGGACTGAGAATTGGTCCATCCGGCATCCCTGAGGCTGGACTTGGAGTATGGAATGAAGCATCTGACCTGCCCGTGGGCCTGCACTTTGGCCCCTATAAAGGCCAGATCACAGACGATGAAGAGGCAGCCAACAGTGGCTACTCCTGGCTGGTGAGAAATGCCTCCTTTTCCTGCATCCTCTATCTCCCCACTTCCTTCCTGTGCTTCTTGTGTGAGATACTAAGACATGGACAGGGGCCACGTGCCTGATTTTGTGTATTGAGTGGTCTTTATGCGGTCACGGAGGTCCTGCTGCAGGACCCAAAGCTCAGGAAGCACTGACGGGGATGGAGTGACGTGATTTCACTGCTGTCATCCTGGAGCCTTAACACATCTTTTTCCTGAAACGCAGATCACCAAGGGGAGAAACTGCTGTGAGTATGTGGATGGGCAGGACGAGTCCCAGGCCAACTGGATGAGGTAAGGCTGTCAGTCACCCACAAAACTTGTCCCTTTCTCTTCCCTCATGACTCCCCCTATGGTTCTCATACTCTGCTTTTCTCTTCTGTGCACAGTATTTTTTCATTTTGTTAATAGTCAGGAAAAAGATAAGTTACTAATACTATCATTAACTTTTATCAAAGCACAAATCTTCTCAGCAAAATTGGAATACTGAGAAAACTTTAATGAGCCTACATTCATTGAAAACACTGAGTTTATAATTTATTCAATATTTATGAAGCATTTATTTCATGTTCCAGTTCAGAAAACAGATTTGATTACTTGAGCAGATCATACAACTTGTGTACTTACAAGAGACATGTTACAGATATTTTACTATAGGAAAGCTTGGCTGTAAGTCTTCTTTTTTTTTTTTTTTTTTGAGAAATACACAGTGCTGAAATAACAAAGGACATTCTGTCTGTGAGGGCAGGAAATGTCCTTAGCTTCAATGACATCTGTGCTGGGTTCTGGAAGGATGTAGGTTCGGATACTGTGTGCCCCAGCCTTTTTCTGTGAGTCTTATTTGTTAGAAGATAGAAAGTCTAATTAAACTTCTGTTTTTCTGTTGTCTTTCCTTTTAAGACAAAGTAACATAGGTTCTCCTTAAACTCCCTATGTAGTAGAGGATTAATTAAATTTGTTATCTCCCTGACCGCATTTCCAGATTCTAGGCATGCACCACCATATCCAGTACTATGTGGTGCTGGGGTTGGAGCCCTGTATTTTGTGAATATGGGCGGGCATTCTCCTAACTGAGCCATATCTTTAGCCCTATTTTCTGTGCTGTCCAGCTGAGACCTCTCAGTTTCTATGGCACACTGGGCAGGTAGCAGGGAGAACTTTCAAACAAACTGGGAGTCAGTGTAGGATGAAATGTAAGACTCTAGAAACAGAGTACATGACTGCTGCCGAGCTCCAGTATAAACTGGGAGATTTAGAGTTTAGAGAAACAGACAGGCACTGCTTTGTCACCAGTAAAGTTAGAAATCTGAAACAACTTTGAAAGCTGGGCTCTTGGGGAAAGAACAGGCTCTGGGGCAGAGTGGCAGGACTTGGAGCTAGGATGTACATAACATTATGAAAGAGACAGGTGAGAACATAGGGTTCTTTGAAAAGAGAGGGGGAGAGCGAAAACATTGGAGCATGGAGGTATGGAGCATGATTAAGGGGCTAGATGCAGATACGGAACCTTCCTTTTGTCTCTAGGTATGTGAACTGTGCCCGGGATGATGAGGAGCAGAACCTGGTGGCCTTTCAGTACCACAGACAGATCTTCTACCGAACTTGCCGGGTCATCAGACCAGGTTGTGAGCTTCTGGTCTGGTATGGGGATGAGTACGGCCAGGAACTGGGCATTCAGTGGGGAAGCAAGAGGAAGAAAGGACTCACAACAGGAAGAGGTAGGCACTGCTGTGGTTCCTTAAAAAGAAAACAAAGAAAAGAAGGAATTCTCCTTGAAAATTTTTGTGTTTCAACTCTTTTTTTTAAAAAAATGATTTATAGTAAACAAAAGTGAAGTTTAAATCCATTGGAGAAAAATGAAAATTTCAAGCACTGCTCTAGGAGGCACACCTCAAGTGTTAAAAAGCTTACCATAAACAAACTGCATAAAAATCTGCATCTAGGGCACTCAGTAATACTAGTAGCAAAAAGGGCCAGGGAAATGAGAGAGGCAGGGTGAGGCAAGAAAATGAAACATAAGCACACTTTTAATTCTAGAACTTGGGAGACAGAGGCAAGTGGATCTCTGAGTTTAAGGACAGCCTGGTCTACAGAGTGAGTTTCAGGACAGCCTGGATTAAATAGAGAAACCCTATCTTGAAAAAGAGACAGAGAGAGAGAGAGAGAGAGAGAGAGAGAGAGAGGGAGGGAGGGAGGGAGGGAGGGAGGAAAGAAAATTAAACATGAACAGGATTCCTCAAAGTCATTTTAGAAACAGGAGTCCACAGCAAGGAACAGACACAAACCTCATCCACAAATGAGACCCTGGATACAACATATTTATCCTACTCAGAGGTGGAATAAATTGAAAAACCAAAAACTACAACTCACCAGACAATGATGGATCATGCTTCTAATCCCAACACTTGGGAGATAAAGGCAGGCAGAGCTCTATGAGTTCAAGGCCAGCCTAGTCTACAGAGCAAGTTCTAGGACAGTCGGCACTACAGGGAGAAACCCTGTCTTGGAAAAACAAAAACAAAAAGCAAACAACAACAAACTACAACTCAAATCTCCTGATTTTACATGACTTAATCCAGATGTTACCCACCCCACCCCACCCCGTATTCAGAATGAAATGTGAGTCAAACAGGGAAAAGAACTGTAACATTCAAAACTGTTCACCTTGAAAAGCTAATATCAGGAAAATACTTTTGTGTTCACGTAATATACCTCTTGACATGAAAAAGCAGTATTTCAAGGAGGATTAATGCAAGGTATATTTTCAAATAGCAGAATCTCAGACTTTATTATAGTAAGTGAAACTTGAAATGATTGACTTCACATCCTGTGATGTTCTGATTTGGGGTACTTCTACCCAGTGGTTGTCAAGCTGCCTTGTTCTGCTCCTGACAGCAAAACAGTGGTTCTCTCAGTCCTTCTTTCTAAAAAATCAGTACTACAAACACTTTGATTTCTGGTAAGATTCATCAAAATCCTCTTCATTAAAAACATTTTAAAAGTATAGCTCCTGTCCACTCACAATGAGAATACGTAGGACAGACAGGGTAAGCTGCCAGTGTGTACATGCTCAGGTGGTTCCCTCCCACCTTGTCTTGACTACTTCAGTATCAAGAGGAAGTTCTTCTTACTCATACCTCTAAATTTACTTCTATGGCTTTTGAAGGATATGGTGAAATGATGTGAATTGAAAAATCGCCAACTTTTGCCTACCAACCAAACTAACAACTTTATAAAGAAATTAAAACTGGGTGACTTCAAGACCAACATAACTAACTTAGCAAGACTGTGTCAAAATAAATACAGATTGGGTGTTGCCTGGCATGTGTAAGGCCCCCACCCTTACTTTCAAAAGAAGAAAAGAGGGGGCTGGTTTGATGGCTCAGAGATTAAGATTAGTTCCAAAGGTCCAGAGTTCAATTCCCAGCAACCACATGGTGGCTTACAACCATCTATAATGAGATTTGCTGCCCTCTTCTGGCATGTAGGCATACATCCCAGAACACTGCATTCTTAAGAAATAAATAAATAAATCTTAAAAAAAAAAAAAGATCAAAACTTAGCTGCGGATATAGTTCTGTGATAGGTAACTGCCGAGCATGTACAAGACTCTGACTTCCATAACCAGTATCACAAACAAAAGTGAGGAAAGGAGAAAGGGAGTGAAAGAAACAAAAGGAAAACAAATAGAGAGGGGATTAAATCTTTACATATTTTACTAATGCCCAGAAAGATTTACCCCAAACGGATTGATGCTAATCTAACGAACTGATGTTTGACAAATTCTAAACTGGTAAGACTTCCTAAGAAATGGCAACCCTAAAATAAGTTACAGAAAATAGAGCTGTGCACAAATACACAGTAGACAACAAATGTACACAATAAAAGCATGTACCGTGAGCTTACCGCTGATTTTGCCACTACCATTCGATGGTTCAAATCATGATTTCCTAACACACACACAAGATTTTAAAAATAAATAAACGTGAAGGAAGTCCAAGAAAATATAAGAAACTAAAACAGAATGTAAGAAAAAGATCACTGTAGATAGAACTTTTCATCTATGGCGACACATTTAGATAGGTGTTCTATTATCATAACAAAGGTGGAATAAATCTTCTGATGACATTTTGTTTACTAAAGGATGCTAAATTAATAATAGGACACTTACAGAGGTAGGAAGTTGTTCTGATGTCATCTCACTTACTAATCTTTGATAAGTGCTGATAAAAATGAAAGACATGATGTGCTGACTAGTTTTATGTCAACTTGACCCAAGCTAGACTCATCAGAGAGGCGAGAGCCTCAATTGAGAAAATGCCTCCCTATGATCAGGCTGCAGGATAGCCTGTAGGGCATTTTCTTAATTAGTGGCTGACACAGGAGGGCCCAGCCATTGTGGGTGGGGCCATCCATGAGCTGGTGGTCCTGGGTTCTATAAGAAAACAGCTGAGGGGGCTGGAGAGATGGCTCAGTGGTTAAGAGCATTGCCTGCTCTTCCAAAGGTCCTGAGTTCAATTCCCGGCAACCACATGGTGGCTCACAACCATCTGGAATGAGGTCTGGTGCCCTCTTCTGGCCTGCAGACATACACACAGACAGAATATTGTATACATAATAAATAAATAAATATTTAAAAAAAAAAGAAAAGAAAAGAAAACAGCTGAGCAAGCCAGTAAGCACTCCTCTCAATGTCCTCTATATCAGCTCCTACCTCTAGGGTCCTGCTTCGACTTACCTCAGTGATGGACTGTTACCTGAACATTTAAGCTAAAATAAACCCTTTCCTCCCCAAGTTGTTTTGGTCGTGGTGTTTCATTACAACAATAACCACCCTAACTTGGGCACATGATCAATCAAAAGTCACGGGCCACTTGTAAAATGAAAACATCTTTGTAGTTCCCATTGTGGAACCCTGTGCCTCATGAATGGCTCATGAAGACTTTACCAATGAGCCCCATCCTCCATTAAGAGAACAAAAAAAGCCTTAAAAGCAGTTTGGGTATCTACATGAGTTCCCAATCTAGCATCAATTATTTTATTTTGTAATTAAGAGAGGAGAAATGTGGATGGTTCTACCTATCCATAAGAATATGAAAGACCAAATATATCCCACAAACCATGTATGTTCACATGAAAATCTTCACCTGATATGACATTCACCTGTCAAGAGGAAGCAATTCAAAGGCTATTACACAGCTGATGTGCCAGGTGGAAGGAGCCATCCAGACTTTGCCCTCCTTGCCAACCCCTTTCTGGGCAACAGTGAAACAGATCTTCATAGATGATGGATTTAGTACAGAAGCCATGATCAGAATCAGGATTGGCATGACACACAACTGTATTGACATTTCAGAGTCATGTCAGTCAGAGTTGGGCTTCTACTGAGGACGCTGGCCCTGCTGTAGTCATAAGCATAAAAGTGTGGTCCTGTTTGGACGATGTTTGATTCCCTCTTCAGAGAAAGTAGCCTCCATCAAACAGCTCTGACTTTCTGTTGCTGGCTCCTCTGTGGATCGTCAGGAACTTTGTACCTTTTTCTTCTGTCCATATACTTTGCAGCCAGGCTTTCACCCAATCAAACTTTAGGAGCCAGCATCCATTTGAGAATCCCAAGCAAACACGGCATAGTACTTTGAGTTTCATCATCAGGAACAATTACATGCGATACTGTACTGTCAAACTCAGCACTTTTTTTTTTTTTTTTTTTTTTTTATGTCTTAAGAACTTTCTCAAGTTTTCTGAGGGTCACGAGTTCATTGCCTGTAAGCATCCATACTTTTGCTGCCCAGCATTCATGGCCAATCACTTGTTAGTTGAGAATGATTCATTCTTTTCTGGTAGTAGCAATAATGATCACACATTGTCTGTGAGGTGTTTTGAATAGAATGGCCCCCACAGGCTCATATTTGAATGCTTAGTCATCAGGAAGTAGAACTCTTTGATAGGATTAGGAGTGTGGCCTTGTTAGAGAAAGTGTTTTACTGGGGGGTGTTGACTGAGGTTTTCTGTCCTTCCCAGTTCCTGCAATGATTAAGTCCCAAAGAAAACACACAGAGGTCTACATTAGATATAAACTGATTGGCCCATTAGCTCAGGCTTATTAACTCTTATAACTTATATGCCCCATTATTAGCCCTTTATTCTTATCTCTGTGTTAGCCATGTGGCTCAGTACCTTATTCAGCAGGGCAGTCACACCTTGCTTCTTCTGTGGTTGGGTCAGGACCCCTGAGGAATGAGCTTCCTCCTTCCCAGAATTCTGTTCTAATTGACCCGCCTCTACTTCCTGTCTGGTTACTGGCCAATCAGTGTTTATTTAAAATATAATTGACAGAATACAAACCATTCTCCCACATGGGAGGGGATGGACTTTGAGGTTTCACAAGCCCATATGAGGCCCAGTATCTTTCACTTTGTCTGAGGATCAGGGTGTAGCCCTCAACTGCTTCTCTAGTACCGTGCTTGTCATGCCTTCCACTATGCTCCCTGCCATGATGATAATATATGTAAAAGGAGACTGTTTATTCATTTCCTGGCTGCCCAGACCCAAATAATCACACAGAAACTATATTAATTACAACACTGCCTGACCTATTGGCTCAGGCTTCTTATTAACTAACTCTTAACATAGTCAATTAACCCATTTCCATTCATCTGTGTATTGGCACAAAGTCGTGACTTACTGGTAAGAGTCTGGTGTCTGTCTCCTTGGGCAGCTACATGGCATCTCCTGGACTCTGCCTACTCTCTTATATATACTTATATACTTTCTATATATACTTATATACTCTCTTATATATACTTAGACACTC